TATATATATATATATATATATATATATATATATATATATATATATATATATATCTGTATATATATGTATCTGTATCTCGCACTAGTTTAATATATGTATGTGCCTTGTCTCTATTTGTTTGTTATTACTTTTCTCTTTGTTTTTTTGTTTATCTCCTCTTGCTCAACTACAAACAAAATATATTATTAATTTTTTTTTTATTTTTTATTTTTTATTTTTTATTTGTTTATCTTTTATTTTTTAACTACAAACAAAATATATTACTGAATTTTTATTTTATTTTATTTTTTTTTTTTATTTTTTATTTTTTTTTTGTCTTTTTTTTATTAACTACAAACAAAATAAATAATTAAATTTTGTTTACTTTTATTGGAGGGGTAGTCTCCTCTACCGCCCCCATTTAAACAAAATACAAAAACAAAATGACAGCCCCAATAACATTTATTAATACTCTTCCTCTCATCCAGCTGTATCTGCATGCATGCATGCATGCATGCATGCATGCAGATACAGCTGAATGAAATGCATGCATGCATGCATGCATGCACGCACGCAGATACAGCTGTACAACCTCCACTTATACAGCTACACCTGCCTGACTGCCACGCCTGCATGCATGCATACCTACCTGCCCACCCACCCACCCACCCACCCACCCACATGCATGCATGCATGCATGCATGCATACCTACCTGCATGTATATATATTCAGTAGAAGTGCATAGGTTTAGTGGGCACAGAATCTTTATTTCCCCCCTTAACCTTACTAGCTGGGTGTTGCTGCAGCTCGAGGGGTATCTGACAGTTAGCGCTTTTCATTACTTTAACTAAATCAAAAAATAAAGCGGAATCTTCTTCGGTTAAAAAGGAGATAGAGACGCCCTTCTTGCCCGCACGACCAGTACGGCCTGCATGCATGCATATATATATATATATATAGATGTATATAGATGTATGTATATATATATATATATATATATATATATAGATGCAGGTATATATATATATAGATATAGACACGCCCTTCTTGCCCGCTCGGCCAGTGCGGCCTGCATGTATATATAGATGTATATAGATAGATGTATGTATATATATATATATATATATATATATATATATA